TTCATATATGTGTTCTACTACTTTCTGCGAGCGGAGTCGGAAATTTGAATGAAGAGGCTAGAAAATCCAAGTTTGATGGATTTGAATCATGATCATTAGGGAGGATTGAGAGGAGGGAGGCGGGCCAGGGGATAATCAACTAGTCTGTTTTTGAAATTTGTTACAAATATTATATGTAAATTTACCTACATTTGAAAATTGAAGGGATGCTATGGACTGATTGATAATTTGAGTGCTTATGGACTGCGGCATTTGATTGCTCAACTTTTTGTAATTACCAATCTTTAAACCTATCATCTACGGGGAAAAAATGACCTGTGAGATGTCTTTTTTTTTTTTTGTAGAAGCCTGTGAGATGTCTAATGGAGTGTCCAAGGGGTTGCTTAACAGTTAACACATATTTCTAGCTCTCCTTGAAGGCAAATCGAGGACAACTCAATTAGAATAAATAATTAATGATCATTGTACACAATTAACAACAATAATCATCATGAATCTGTTAATTAATTAGCAATTATGTGATGCACGTTGTGATTAGAATCAAGCCTTGGATATCTTGAATTACACATTTGTAGTGTCTATTCTATACAAAGGGAGGCAATTATCGCAAGGGAAATATGGATCATTTTCAAATCATTCCATGTTTATGTACATAATAATAATTGAAAACCCTGATCATTATCGCAATCTTTGGGGGATGTTTTTTCTTTTTCTTTTTGGTGTTCATTGGGGAACATGGGCGGGAATACCAACTGTATTATTTTTGGACCCACTGAAAGAAAAATGTAAAGTAGGATTAAAGAAATTGGTGCGCATGAACTGTACAAATACATGGAACAAAAATAGATACATAGGATCGGATACGGCTATCAATTATTCATTACGAGGGATGGGTTCTATGGTTTCTTAATTGTAAGATGGTTCCCCCATAATTTAGCAAATCTTGTAGTTGTCTGTCCCCTCAATGTATTTTCACTTCATCCTCTCGTCCCTTCCGGGCTGGAAACTGGAAAGATGCCCACGAGCCACGACTAATTAAGTTTGGTGAATAGTTAAGGGTTAATATCTTATTTTAGGCTGAATTATGATCATATAATCAATTTTGATTCGTGGTTTCAGAAATTAACATCCTGATCTCAACTATGTAACATTAACATATAAACTCAATTAGTCCGACACATGGTTTACAGTCAATTTGGAAGGTCAACACACCATGTCATTGCCTCGTCAATATGAAAATCATTAAAAAAATTTAAATTTAAATTATTTCCTAATTTCTATTATTATCATTTTAAAATAACCAATAAATAAAATTTAAAAAATAAAAAAATTGATAATTTATGATTAATTTATAAAATTTATCATTTTCGAATTATCCACAAATAAAAAAAATTATTTTATATTCTTTATATTTTTTTTTGTTTATTTGATAATGATAAATAATAGAAATTAGGAAAATAATTTGAATTTTAATTTTTTTAATGAATTTTAGGCTAACGAGGCAATGACATGACCTGTTGACTAACGGTCAACGATGTTGATCGTCCAAATTGACTGTCAAACCATGTGTCGGACCAATTGAGTCTATATGTTGCATAGTTGAGGTCAGGTTGTTAATTTCTGAAACCACGAGCCAAAGTTGATTATATGGTAATAATTCAGACCAAAATAAGGTATCACTCGTTAATTGTAATCTTCTGAAATTTGTGTGCAATATCATCCTTACACACAAAAAAAGATTTAGTTAATTGCATTACCCGTTAGGAACGTATGTTGATTCGAATGTTTGATACGAATAATGCAGTGATGTCAATTTTTGATTTGACCGCAACGGCCCAACCTGATTTGCGGTAGCGTAAAACGAAACATAAGTATTGCTTCAGACCTGCCCACCCCGCTATCCACCTATTCTATCATGATATGCATTAAAATCTACATGCATTTCTCATCTTTCGAATTTTCTAAAATAATATTTCCATTCAAAATAAAATTTAAGATTTTGTCTTTCAACTATTTATACTCAATTATTAGTGTAAGTTCTAGTAAAAGAGTTGAAAATGAGCATTCTTTTTCAAATAACATATAAGTATGGGTTGGCCTGTCCCAGAATTACCCGATTTGACCCGTGCTTAGTACATGAAATATATGAGTATTGAGATAAACTACGTACTCCCTACCTCACCCTGTCCCATTGCCATCACTAGAGTAGTGTAGATGGAAAAGTACCCTTCTGGGCACACCATAGTTGGGATTGCGATATCTCATGGCAAAACGGATGGGCGATTACTGATTAGGGATTAATTGCTCTGATTAGTGACATGACTTGGCAATTGAGCAGGAGAGGTCCTGAAGTAGTACATTAGGTGTCAAAGTGAAATGGGGACAGAAGAAGGCAACGCCGGGAATTGCGGAGGGTGGATCGTCTCGTCGCAAAGGTGGCATCCAACGTTTGTAATGAACTGTAAACATGGCATCCAGTTTTTCCCGTTTTGTCCAATCCCTTGGCGACCTTAAACTAAACTATCATAATACAACGATGATCATCAGTCTGTCACAACCGCCTTAATTTCGACACTTGGCCTTTTAAACTGGCGGCTCCTTAATTAAATCAAAGTAGCCGAGCCTTTTTAAAGTAGTAAGTTGATGAATTGCTCCGGCGCGCCAAAGTCCCAAAACAAGCAGAGTGATCCACCTTCCTCCAGTTACGGATGATTGATCATTTCAGACCTAGCTTAGCTTAGCTGTGGAGACCTTAGTTCGTTAGGTGGGAAAACAACGTTGGCGAACCCGTGGACAAAAGAAAAAAACTGTTGTCGTCATCTCATCTGTCTTCCACAGCTAGCCTGTTTCTACTTGTCTGTTTGTGTGTTGTTCGTGTGTTCTTACGTCGCCAAGTTGGGTGCTGCAGCTTTACAGCTAGATTCCTCTTCTTAATCCTTTCTTTAGCTTCTGCTTTCGGGGCTGTTCTGCAATCTGAATGTAGACTTTGGGGGTTTGCTTTGCATGATGCTAAAAGAGAGAAAGTTGGATGGACGATGCTTTTCTCATTCAAGTAATAAGACGGAATATACAAATCCTAAAAAGGGGAAATCAAGAATCAAACAAGTCTAATCCATCTTTAACTAATTCGTCAAACCATATTTACGTATTAAGGATTTAACAAGTCTGGTCGATTCGATATTTGATTCTTCCTGAATTTCAAATTCGGGAGTACATATTAAATTGACATGATAGATTCAGTACCGTTGTCTTTATCATCAACTGAACTAATTCATCAGTTCTTTTTAACCTACATAATAACTCATCATTTTTAATACAATGATAATGATTCTCAAAATCCCGTAGAGGGAAAAAAATCAGAAATGTGACCAAACTCTTTAGGATAAAATCGGTCAGGTGTTAGAGTAGGGTGAAGATAAGGGGTAGCTCATGGGTTTAATTTTAAATTTTTTAAGAATTGGAAATAGAGCCACACATTTGTAATTATATTTATGTTAAAATTACAATAACAAATGAAGTTTAGTCAAATGAAAGACATGTTTCCTATAACTATAGTATAATGATTTGAATCACATAGACCCCCCTTCCATATTCAAACTACTATCGGAAGTTCGTTAATTTTTTCTCGGATTTTAGAGATGTCTCGGAATACCCCTACCCACCATCTGGATCCGCCACTGAATATCATGTACTTTTAGCTCGACAAGCTCCTTATGTAAGCAAAGTGGAGCGCCCGACTTATGTGGGGAAATAAAACTACTTGTTTTTCAGAATGATTATGACACTGGAATGAGGTTGGGTTGGATGTGTTTACAAGACAATCTATCTTAATGTAGCTCAATTTGTTCCTTCATGAAATACGTGGTATATGGCAATGTTAATGACAAAATGTTGTCACAAAGAATTTCAATATGTTGTCTTAAATTCCGTTTGGTACCAACGTTTCAACCATACAATCTCAATTGATATTTGAGATGGGACCATCTACTTGACCCTTAAGATGAAGCTACATTTTAGGTTACAAGTAAATACGTACGGAAGAGGCAAGACCAAGACATATACAATTACTTACTCTAGTTCAACTGTTCAAGTAAACAAAAAAAAAAGGCCCCTTCCTGCGCCTTCCTGCACGCACACATGGGCGGTTAGCTTAACTTTACTAGTTCTTGCCGTGAAAACTGAAAAGGATGAAGAGGAAAAGATGAGGACAAAGCCCTACCAGCGTACCAGTCCTGCTAGACAAGTTGTGGGCCGGATCGTATTATCATTATCTTTTAACACGGGGGACAACCCCACAGACTCCGGCAAGAGGCGATGACCCAAACACGACGGGCCCAATCCAGACACAAGCAAGATCCGATCAAATCGGATCTGGGCCCACCAACGATCTCAATCGAACCCGCTCGCGGGACCAGGTACGTACTTACTTACCCGGTTACCCCCTACCCGCAGCGCGGGGAAACATAACAAGTTACTCCAAGCCCAGATCCAACCGGTTGTAATTTATGATCCTACCGTTGCCACAAAGTATCCCCATCCCAACCACAAAATATCTCCACCACAAAGCATAGTTAGAAATTCGAGGATAGAACTGGAATAATCACCGGTTCGAGAGCTTATTCATTCAATCGAGAGGGGAAGTAGGGAGGGGGGTTCCATCACCTGTGCAGAGCTGGCTGGAATTGGACATTGTCTTAGAATTGGCCGGGAGTTGGAAACGATAATTATGCAAACTGACTCTCAAACAACCATTCACCTCATCCGATCGGCTAAACTAAACCATCCACACTTTGAGTTCGTGTCAAGAGATCGATCACGTTAATTGACTAGAGCTTGGCTTGTTTTGGATGGAACATGTGTACAGACATTTGCTCGGAGTTCTTGTATCCGTTATTTGTGTACGAGCTAGTACTTTGATCAAATCAAGGTCAAACCACCAAGAGTTATTAATGCAAAGGCTGAGATGCTTTTCCATTTTCTACAAAAAGAAGAAATTGGAGGATACTATCAGATGTCTTATAAACATTACCCACTTAGGCACTTCCCAAGCACACCAAGATTAATGAAACCCATAGAACTGTGGATCAATACAGAAATCCTTACACAACTTATCATAGCCTTGAACCATTAAGGTCAGGTCAACCCTTTTCCTTTTCTTGAGGTGGGGATGATTTTATAGGTTTACATTTTGTTACATTTCCCAAATTACGAAGGGACATTGAAGTGGAAGAGCCAAGAAATCACAAATGCAAATACCATACAAGCCAGCAGGAAGTTGAGGAACCGATGCCCCTGCCAGAAATGTCGACCTGCGTTGCTGCCCTCCGCCGCCGGCTGCCCTGCTGCTGCTACTGACGATGCCACCGCCACCTCATCGCTGCCCTCATTCCACTGCTCCACCACCGTCTCCGCCTCCGTCGCTCCGGCCACGTTCCGCGCCACCGATCCACATATCTCGCAGGTTCTGCAGTCAACAAGATCCAAATTAGCAATACTTTCTTTGACCAAATGGTGACCTCCTGCAGTGAGATCTGAAACTTCAAACGCAAATTGCAGCACAATTTCTTTTCCATTGCCATGAATCCATTAACTTACTAAAACAACCAATGACAACTTGTGAAGGGGAATCAGAAAGCACATTCCTTTTAAGACCAATGATTCATCTACCGGTCAAATTGAATCCATTTGGAGCAAAACCCACAATCCCAAAGCCAGCCACAAATTTGGGAAACTTACCACATTCCCTTATTATGAACATAAATTGCTAAAATGGGTAATTGAAATTGAAGTATGAGCATGTATTTTACATACTTGTTACCCTTGATCTTGAACCAAGCCTCAGCGCAATGCTTGTGGGCAGCAGCCAAATCGTCTTTACAAGAGCAACCCAGATCAATGGGGAAGCCAGAGTCCTCATTCCCTGTATCCAAGCTCAGATGACAAATCCTGCAATCCCTCTCCTCCACATTATTACCCAAATGCAGCTGCTTCCCTTCTTCTTCCTCATCATCATCAATCTCCGCATTCTGGCCCAGTCCAAGCTCCAGATCCACATCCTCCGAGCACGACGACGAATCTCCTCTCCTCCTACTAGCCTTCACTATCTCGTCGCCAGAGTCACTGCTGCAACTTTTCTCCTGCTCTGTTTCTTCTTCCTCTTCCTCCTCGCCGGAAGAAGGGTCGCCGCCGCCGCGACGGCTACTATCTCCCGTGTCTTGTAGTGGTGGTGGTTCATCGTCGGTGGATGCAATCAGGGAAGCTAAGCGGGGTTTGTGGGTAGCAGCATCCATTGGGAGAAGAGTTTGATGGGCGAGTCTTCATGTATTGAAGAGATGGAAATGGAGAGGGGGGAGAAGGAGATCATCAATCAATACTCCCCTCTTTTCTTCCTCAAAGTACAGAGGGTTGGTTGTTGTTTTTATAAAGGAAAAGAAATACAATAACAAATTATTATTTTTCTTTCCCCAGAACACCTCTGGTACTGTACAGAGACCTACTACTTACTCTTTTCTCTGTGTGTCAGTGTGAGACCGAAGAGCAGAACTTGGCAGTGGAGGAAGGGAAAGAGCAGAAGGGTTTCCCCTTTACTGTTGTAGGTTAATAATTACTAGTACGGAAGCCCGCGCTTCGCGGCGGGAGGATTAGAGTGTTTGATCTTCGAATTCATAAGTGAGGGGGGAAATATGAAAATAGAGTTATTATAATGCAATCAAACAATCATGATTTGTCAATAATCATGAAACAAATACTAATGAGCTTGTCAAATGAATACTTAACCTGACAATTTATATCGTAATCAACTCAACACCTCAGGTGTGGAAGGCAATGAATCGTACAATTTCTTTGCTTACATGTTCAATGCATAGAACCTAGGGGCAGCAGCAGTCGACCCAGCTTGGTTATCAGACTCCAACTTCACCTCGAACTCTCTCGACTCAAATGGCAGAGCCCCAGCAGTGAACAGACTTTTCCTACCATCATAGGCTACCATTTTGTTCCCCAAATGAGATTGACGGTATAACTTGTCCAGTGTAGAAATGACATCTCTGTTGACCTTCTTCGAAGTAACCTCCGGGGTAATAGTGACCTAAAACCAAGCACATTCATGAATCAATCATCCGCACAATAGCATTTTCAAGCATATAAATCCAGATCCCCCCTCAATGCACAACCCTAGGAGTTTTTTTGTACAGCCAGCTCTTCTTCGCAATCCTCGTGAGATGGGGGAAACAGTAAGGAAGAGTAAGACAGAAACAGAATCATAACATAGCAAATGTGTGAGCCACCACACCGTGATAGACTGTTAGGTAAGTGATAGTCTGTTCACTGCTGGGGCTCTGCCATTTGAGTCGAGAGAGTTCGAGGTGAAGTTGGAGTCTGATAACCAAGCTGGGTCGACTGCTGCTGCCCCTAGGTAAAATGCTGCTTCCTTTTAGGTAAAATGCTGCATTCGTTTCAGCCTATAAAAAGAATGTACCTAACCTTCAAGAGTGCAAAATCTGCTATGAAGTGGCCGGTGAAACAGTCGTCGCCACTCCTAGTAGAGAACAAACAAACGATCTAAACAAATATCCAAGTAAACATGAACCTTAGAAAGGAATCAGATCAAGAGAGGTAGCTCACCACCACAGTAGGTTCCGCCTGTTGCTTCGCAAGTTCAACGGGCAATAAAGTTTCCTAAGAATTTGAGATCAATTTCTTTGCCACAAAACTCGCCGTCCGAACCTCCTTTGAAAGCAGACGAACAAACCCCCTGACAAAAGAAAGAATGGAAACGAAACCATCAAGAAAAGAGAGTTGTAAGCGAAAGAGCGGAGTCATTGTGCATGTGAATAGTTTGTACGTACATCGCGGATACATAAGTCTGTTGATGTTGAAGTGCAAATATTGCTAAATACTGGCATAATATAGGTAAGACAACGGTCGAGCACAATGACTTTCTGCGCAAGCGTTGACGTTTTCATTAGTTTATTGTTAGAGCTGGCTGCGGTCGATTGCAGAAAGTATAGTAAACTCCAGAGGAGTCTGAGCCAGATTTCCAGGTTTAGGGAGTTGCACACAAAACGAAAACCAACAGCCATTCATGGCCACAATTGGCGGAGGGAAATGGCCATGGCGGTGGGGATGCTGCAACAATAGTTCGTTTGCTGTAACTCCAAGCAAAGATTCAGCGGTCTTTCCAAGTGCGACGAAGCACGCCGAACCAGTAGTGTCTCCGACAGCCAAATGAATTTTGTAGCTGTAAGAATGTATTAAAATTTCAGGGGTGAATTGGGCGTGCCCACTTGACTGATGGGGAAAAGGTGGATTTTAAACTAACCAATGTTCGGTTTCTTCAGCCTTTAGTTGGCCATGTTCTTCACAAAAAAAATCACCAGTGGCAGGAAATTCCCTAGCTGTCTTAAAGCAAAAGGCACATCCTAAGTAGAACCATGATCTTGAAGCCTCAGTGGAGAGGACTTGCGCCAAACAATAGTACTGGGTAGCCTGTAGGTAAACAAAACTGGTGAGAAAGTGTAGCTAAGCAGGCAAGAAATGTGTTAGTTTACTGGCAAAAGGGACTGGAAAAATAGATCCATCTAGTGGTGAGGCAGAATAAATTTTGAAGCATGAAAATAATGGCTGGCTACATTAATAGTGCAGATTATGCTTTAACCTGCCATGAAGTAATAAGATACAGTGCTGTGACAGTAAAAGTTATGACAAAATAACGCACGTCAACCATTGGATTTCTGGAAAGGCGGATGAGGTCCATAATTGTCTTGGTACTGTCAGCTCGAAACATTTCCTCTTCAAAATAAGTGGAAAAGCATGGAGGATAATAGCGGATCGTATCTGTACCACCAGTAGCACTACAATTCCGAAAGTATATGAGATAAATGGAAAGTCAACTACTAAAAGCGGCATCTTGTAAGAGACTTACGTAGCACGCAAAACATTTGCCAATGCAGAAGATGGCTCCAAAACAAACCGTGTAGCGGAGGTGCTGGTTAAAAAAATGCCGCCTTTGGTAAAGGTAGGAAAGGAGATGTGAGTCGTCGTAGAATGGATTAGCAATAGCATTAACTGTGACGGATAAAGGTGCAGTGTAAACCTGGTGTGGCGTCAGTAACTTGAAGACTGCATACACCAAGTATAACAGATCCCATGCGGCTAAGGTATGCTAGTTCTTCTCCATCTAGTGATCGAGCAACATCGCCACATATGGTGATGTTAACACGTGTATTTCTGCAATAGTCAAGTGCAGGTTAGACGGAGATGATTGGAATTACGGTTAATCAAATACAAATGGAAAGGTACACAATCGCATTGCATTGAAAACCTTTCGTTTTGTATGACCAGTTTCCGCCTAATAATAGCACCAGTGGATGTTGCCGAACAGGATAACCCGCTCACAGAAACAACTCTGCCAACAACATCTACATTTGGAGAGGTGTTACAAGAGCGTCAATTCATTAGTGCAAAAAAACCAAACAAGTATATGTGATGAGATTACAGTAATTGCCAGGTGAACCTATGAGCTGGTTTGTTGAGCGAGGTAAGCCGTGCAAGGAACTGAAGTGTAAAAACTCAAATGAATCAGCACAGAAACCCGGTGACAACATGGTTACATCCTCAAATTTGGTTCCCTGAGAAAGGACCAAACTAAATCTATGGGAGCAAGGGCGGCACAGTGGCTGTGGTTTTGCCAGCTGGAATCCAGTAACTAAGTAGACACACCCTAGTTGCAGGTATGGGCCAAATCGGTGACCTAAATGTGGTGTCGCGATGGCCTGGATTAAGGTTCCCTGTTAAACAGGGAGGAGGCGAAGCAAGAGAAATGACCGAAGAGCACAATTTGCACTGGTAACTGCAAAAAAAACGTTTAAGGAAATGCTATATTACCTTGGAATCGGTCCAAAGACTGCAAAACTGTGAGAGAATGGATGGATTTTCTGAATTGCAATCACCCCAAACATGCAAGAGGCGTATCTTGAGAGCAGCTTCTGGCCCTTCAGTTCCATTTAAATCTCGAAGCAGCTTTTGCGGAAGCATGTCTCTTTTGTGAGGAAATTGGGGACGGAGATCGAACCGGATGACACCAGAAGGAAGGTTGAACAGGAACAGTGTGCTGATTCAGGATTTTAGTGAGGAAATAACGGAAGAAGAGTAAAGTTGATGAGAGAGGATGAAAAGTGAGATAAGAGCAGGGATCTGCCTAAACGTTGAATAAAACAACAAAAGGCATAAACTTTCTCTCGAACTGTTCAGTGTTTCTGCGGCCCAAAATGATTCAAAATACAATAAAAATGGTCGTAGAAGAAAGGCCTAAAAGACAAGTGGTGTGAAGGGAATCCACTACTTTTCAACTGAGGCAACAGTACAGTAAACGGGGGAAACATACTAACACTGGAGGCTAGAAGGGAATGACCGATTGTAGTCGAATTACAGGAGGTTACATTAGGTACATAGTACACTGTAGATAGCGAATCAGGGGTGGTTATTGATATCTGTAATGATTTTGAGATCTAATATAACAGAACAGTAACGACACAAGAGTGAAGACAGAACACTCAAACACATGTCAAACAAAGGAACTGCAGAAAGGGCATAACTAAGACGAATAAAATACGAACGTGCATTGCCAAGTACATTGTTTAGATCTGAACTATTTGGATGGTTGAGCTTAAAGGGTAGCTACCATACACAACGTACCAGAACAGTTTATGTTCAGAATGGAAATAAAGATGGACTATTCCAATTCTCAAAATATCGAATTAACTAATAATGTTGCAATCCATGTCTTCTGGGCCTGCCTTACTTTGATCCTTCCTCAGCCAACAACTCAATTCGTTCCTTAGTCCTAAGAGCTGCAATAAGAACAGACATGTGGGTATTTATTAGTGCGCAAAAAATGGTTGTGCCCACGAGCACTAATGTTCCACTGAATGCAAAACAAAAGTAGGAAGGAATGTACCTTTGTTGACTGCAACGTAAGGGTTCGGTCAGATGCGCAATTTAAGTTCTCGCAATGGCTGAAATGCTTTTGAATCCCAAATCGCAAACATGCGGATGTGTGGTTCATCTGAATCTTCTGATCCCACGATGTACAGTTCTGCCATTAGCTGAACATTGCAGAATGTTTTGAGTAACTCAACTCTCTCGTCATATGGCATCATTTGGAACTCGAGCGGTGGCATACGGATTAGAGCAAGAGAAGGTTGATGATTCAGAACTATTGTTGCGGTGTGATTTCCTGATTCGCATTCAGCCTGCAATTCGTAGTACAATCTAAACGTATACGTAGATTAGAGATGTGGTAGCAATGAATTGTTACTTAACAATAAGGAAAAGAACAGTAGTCGTAGTTTGGAAATACTCAGTGTCTTCAGGAAAAGTTTTGCAGGTCTCAGAACCAAGATGGAACTTAAGTATCTTCAATTTGCATCGATAGAGTATCTGTCATATGGATTGAATTAGGAAAAATGTCAAGTCCAGTTTGTGTGAGTAACTAATAACATTTATTTTGTTGGAAGGCCACCTGAGGATGCTTGATAATTTTCATATATACTTGATTAACAATCTACAGGTGCACAAAGAAGGTAAGGAAAGTCACCTCAGTTTCCATTT